TCTCTGTTTTTCTCGCTGTCTCTATTTTCTCTTCACTTAAAAAAGTCACTGAAGATGAATAAATAAATAAACTAAATAAACTAGTATTTAGTTTCGTTTTCTACTGAAGTGACAAAAAAATGTACCACACCAAATTTTACCTCAATATCTGTATTTATGACTGAGTTATAGCTATTTATTTATGTCTGTTAAGGTCAACACGAAGCTATTTTTATTTGTTTATTTTTGTGGGTTTACTTGAAACTAAAAAGAAGACATGTTAACAATACAAAGGAAGACCAACTGTCAGACTTTTAAAATTGAGCCATTGGGAGAATTTGCATCAACAAGAAGAACCAGATGGTGGGTAAGACACTACTTGCTCAAAGAACATGTTAATAGACATATCCACAAACTCATGGAAGCATTGCAAAAATAAGACAATGGTGAATACCACTGACAAATTGCAGCAATAATATAAGTACAGAACAACCAACACACCAAAAACGAAATAATTAGGGTACATCGAAAAGAGAAATCTTGCTCAAGCTGTATTATATGATATTGTTTTAATCGTTTAGCTTGAAACATATACAAAATTACCAATAAGAACATGTCATATTCAATAATTGTTTAGGTGTGTATTACAGTTTTAGCCTGTGCTGTAAACATTTTTTATCAGTGTTTTATGAGAAGGGCTGCTGAACTCTTGGCCAGGTCATCCTAAGAAAATAGATCTTTATCTAAACGTGTTATCTGGTTAAATAAAAATATATAACTAAAGTAATGCATTAATAAAAAGTAATTTTAAAATACACCAACATACTTGGCAAAGTATAAAACTGTGTGACAGCACCACAAGGAATGGGAAGAGAAAATGGTGTGACTGTTTATTCTTTATAAATGCATTACATTATTGTGAGGTCTGGGCTTTCAAATGGTTGCACAGCATCGATAATCCCTAAATAAATGTGCAAAATAAACTCTTTTGTAAATCATCTGTCAGCTTTACTGGCAGTTGTACAGTAGAAACACAATTGACTGTGTAAACAGCTACTGTAGGTACTTAAATAAATAAGGAGAAACAATTATGTTTCTTTTTGGAAAAGCAGTTACAAAATAAATGTTTAGCTTGCTATTATTATTATTTTTTTTTACAATAATGCGTACAGTTTTATTATTGTAGCAATAACTTGGATTGGAATGTCAAACCCAAACTTTGTTTACCTCAAGACTGTGGCCTCTAAGCATTATTCTGTCTCATGCCTACTGAGACAAGAGTGATTTGATTCATTTACCTCCAAAACCATTGTTTACTATCTACGACTGGTAAGATAACGACAGGATGCGACAGAGACCTTCTGTTGTTTGAGTACAGTGAGAACTCTTTGATGTACTCAAAATGGCCGCTTATCACAAAAGAACTCAAGGTTTAGCAGACACGAAGTCTGGCAAAATGGGTCTGCTAGTGAGAGAAAGGCCTTTGAAGCTGGATTTCCTGCTGAGTTTTATTACATACATTTGCATCAAAAGACACGTTTACATACCATCTCATTTACGGTATTACAGCGTCCCCAGGAGACTGCTTTTATACTTACACCATGATCGAATGTTTTTCTGTATTTTTGTTTTTCTGTTTTTTCTGTCATTCTGATATAAAAAAAAAGAGAATCATTGTATGCCCTACATGACTCAATCATGTGAACAATGTGCTTTAATCACTTCACAAACTATCTTATTTCTCTGTGTGTTTGTAATCAATTCTAAGGATGGCAGTCTGTGAAAAGAAAAAAAGGTCACGTGATCATTACCAACCAATCATGAGTGTCAGAATCTGAACAATAGTTTGAGTTTCAGCAGCAGCAGTCAGAAGTCGGTCGAGAAAGTTGAAGAGATGAATGAGTAAAGCTAGCTCCATTTTCCCTCAGGGATAATTTTATTTTATTTTATTTTTTTATTTTATTTTATTTTGTAACTTTAAAGTTGTTAATTTGTCTTCATAAGGAGGTACTGGATTCATGCAGGAAGCGAGCTTGTTCAGAACCTTTTTCAATCAACAAGTGACCAGAGGCAAACCTGATTCCAGCTTGGAGCTGAAACCAGCCACTTCGAGAAGTCCAGTTGTACCCACAAGGGACCGCTCTGAAACCAGCGACGCCGCTGGCACAGCTCGATCAAGCTCCGGTACCCAGGGACAACGATAAGACATCTGAATGGTAGGATAGCGTAATTTTCTCTGTTATCCGGTGGTGGCTCAGCTGAGGTGGTGAAAACTCCTGGATCGCTAAGTTGGTAGTAAAGAAGGTTTGGCGAGATTAATTCAGGCATAATCCACATTCCCCTTTATTGATGAATTAACAACTTCCTTTTATTAACCTTCAAGCTTCTTATAATCTTTATGAGTGTAGATTAGAAAGTGACTCAGGTGAAAGATACTAGTTATTGTGACTGACTTTAACGTTTATTATTAGACTTAAGGTTTGATGATAGGTGTCTCTGTCTGCCCAAATAATCTGTATTGTCATCTCTGAATCATTTTAATATAGGTTATATTTTGAAATCTCGTTTGTCTGTGCGTCATTTCTTGGTTATGTCTTGAAAATGATAGAATTCACWACTCAGTAWYKRAGACTGATTTAAAATCWATGAATTATTTCCTGAAATAATCAGGTGGTGCCCCTTTGTTATGCTAATAATTACGAGGTATTTATGATATAGCATCGTCCATAACATCGACAACAGCATATCCCTACATTATCACAATAAAAACCGAATATTTGGAGAAAACTAAAGTTTTGTTGATGTTTAGTCTTTTATGGACAAAAACAAAACTGCCTCTAAAGTTGTTTGGCAATTGTAATTTTGCAATATTTTCATTGGTCTTGTTTTTAAAAAGTACCACTTTGTAGAACAGAAAATTCATCCTCTTTTCTCAAAGAAAATATAGAAGATATTTACTTTGATAAGGAGTATAACTTCAGCTGTACAGTCTTAATAAGGGGAACATGTACTGCTATAACTCAAACATAAACAACAATCTATTTCAGGTTTTACCAAGATGATAACTGCTCATAATTAATAAAAGACAAATCAATCTTGAAATACATCCATTGTTATATTTTCACATTTAATGCTAAACATTTCATTTATAATACATGTCATATTTAGTAAATATTCAAAGCCATTTAAAAAAATAAATCTTGTTATATCATTTCATCCAATCCCTTTGCTTGCTTTAAATGCTGACTGAGATTTCAATGTGGGACAGATTTTTGTGACACATATAAATCAAAACAGGTGTCCCCGTGCTTCCAAAACATTATATTTGATGTTTTCTTTCAGAAACAGAAAAAAAGTCTGCTGACACCACTGTCTTTACACCTATTGTCTTGGAAAAAAAATACATCAGCTACCTACAATGATCACACAGTCTTGTCCCAGACAAACAAATCCCTGCTCTCCATTTCCCACTACTGATTTCTGCAGATGTGCTCCAAAAAGATAAAAAAGAAAAAAAAAAGGATTTGATGCAGCATGGAACGGCTCAGAGGGTTTGTCTCAGGTGTGTGCAGAAACGAAGAAGGCACCGACTCTCACACTTTTGTTGTTGTTGTTTCTTATCCTCTTCTATGTTGTTATGCACACACATGCAAATTTGCAGCATTCTGTACATGTCCAGGCCAAATTATGGCAATAAATGTGCAAATGTGTGCGCACATAAGTATAAGAACTTCAGAGTTCTGTTAATAATAATAATAAAAAAAACTCATCATAATAGAAGTTCCAACAGTGTGGACTGTTATTGGGTACGTTTATCAGATGGTTATGTTTCCCCCTGGGTCTGCTTTGCTGGTGTCTCATCAGTTTCTGAAGGACCTTGTGCTTCCTTGTTGCAGCAGCAAACGAAAAATGCTTTCTTAAGTTCTTCCACCATTGTTTTCTCTCCATCCTCCAGCTCCGCGTTTTCCTGCATATCCCACCTGGAATGCATAGAGACACACAAAACCAGCTGCTTTAATACAAGCAAACATTTGTCAAAATTAAATGAAAACCCAATTCAGCAGAAACTGTGAAACTTGTCTTCAGTGTGTTATTTATTTATTTAGTTTTTTGCATATTCAAATTTCGCCAATGCACCAGATCAGTACTCCAAGACAAACAAAACTGTTCTGTTTCTGTTTCATTCATCTATTTTTATCTCACTCCAAGAAAAGAAGAAAAAATAAATAAATAAATCGCAACAGTGGCCTGATTTAGACTTAGAATGAAAGTCTGTCCAAAATACATTTTCTCACTAGAGTTGTGACATCAAATAATGTTTCCAGAAATAATGTTAACAAAACACTTCTCAGTCACGGATGTGTAAAATCTCAAAAGCTCTTTTCACAAAACATAGGCCTGAGACTTCTTTGGGGATCTTAGCATGATTTATGTAAGTAAGTATTTTATTATTTTATTTATTTACCGTTATTTTACCAGGCAAGTCCCGTTGAGATCTCAGATCTGTTTTACAAGGGAGGCCTGGGCCTGAAGGCAACCTATTGTACATGTTTTTTGGGGTGGGGGAAACCAGAGCACCCAGAGAAAACCCACACAAGCACGAGGAGAACATGCAAACTCCGCACTGAAAGACCCAAGGTCCAAACCGGGGATCGAACCCAGGACCTTCTTGCTGTGGGGCGTCGGTACTGACCACTGAGCAGTCGTGCCGCCGAATCGTGGCATTGTTATCGAGGCAGCACAGTGGCTGAAATCAGCTGAGCTGCCAAGAGAGTTAGTCACACAACTGAAACAGCAGATATGTGTAAAGGCCAGTCAGCGTCAAGACTCAAGGGGGTGATGTAGTGATCATAAGTGTTCTTGTTGACCACTGACAAGTTTTAGATGAAAGTAAGAGATGTTGAACAAACCGAATATGTAGTGCTCCATCAATTTTACTCCACACCTCCTTTGGTTCCATGAAGCAGGCTTCTTTTGTAGCATTTTGTAGATTTTTTTTTCCCTTAAGAGGCTTTTTTTTTTTACCAAAGTCATTCAAAACTGGACTGTGGGACACACACTGTCCAACCACCATAGCTCTACAAGCCACACTTTCACTCTTTACATTTTTTGCACAAGTGTTTATATATACTTTGTGAATATTAGAAGTTTGTTTTACACATTTGCACTAATGTAAACATGAACTTAAACACTTCCAGCTTTTACACATTAAAAGAAAAAAAAACCTTGGGCCACTTCAGAAAATATCACAACATACAAAACAACAACAACAGAACAATTTATATTAAAATTACTCAGAGGAAATCACTAAAGGCTGGTTTATTCTTCAAGTTGCACATCTTGGTCCCCATGCTGAGTGACAAAACATTGTGTAACTTTCTGCTATCCCGCTGCTATCCCCCAGTGGCAGCCGTCATGTGCATTGCCCCCAGTCAGAACTCTGCACAGTGGACCTTGAGGCTCACAGCGTGTGATTGGTCAGAACTTTGTGGGTGTGTTTGTTCATGAGGAGCAACACAGTGCTGTGGAGTATGACCAGAGCAGGACACCAAGCAGCTTTTCTTTCTGCATGTCATTTTGCTGTAAATGATTTTTTCTCTGAAGCCAGTTGTTAAATTAGTGACATGAACAGCTTTGATGAGCAGCAGGTTTGATCCTATTGAACGATACAACTGATGTTCACGTCTTTTTTTCCCCATCACCATCATTAACAATAAAAAGCAAGTTTTTACTCCTCTGACTTTTCATTCAACACCACACTAATTGTTGAGCGGAAAAAAAAAAAAAAACATATCCAGCTATCACTACATATCTGTGAGCTGTGCATTGGGAGTGCTGTAGGAGGTAGAAATTATGAAAATCTATACCCTGTTGTGTCTTCAGCCCATTTATACTCAATCAGAAAAAGATGTCTGAAATGACACAATCCCAGACCTGATGTCTCACATTGTACTGAAGTATAAACCAAGCTGGAGAATGTGTTGCCATTCCACCCAGGTTTAATTGTTTTTCGTCTCCCCCAACTTTTTATTAATCTTAAATGAGACAAATGGTGCTTTTAAATCCTTCTTTTAACATTTAAATCATTCAGTTGTGGTTTATATTAAGTGGAACTGCAATGCTCTGGTCTGAATTCCTTCTTATTGTAACTCCACCAAGCCCCACTTTCACACCTTTTCTGAGGTTAGATCAACTCGTTTTGATGCTGTGTCTTTAAACGCAAATGGAGACGCTTCACACCCTGTCCCCTCCAGCTTCCAGAGCAGTCCATTCTAGCTAATAGAGAGGCTTACGACTATCTTGTGTCACAGAAACTTTTTATTTACAAATTAATTACAATATGTCAATAAGGGAAGATTGTCCATCCAGCCTTCCATGTTGGAGCCAGAGTCGGACCCATTGAGAGGAGAATGAAGACGACAAAATTGTAGTTATTAAGTCCAGACCATATTTGGCAGTTTTGTCGCAAAAGGTGTGATGTTCAGAAATCATCAAAGAAATAAAGAAAACTGAAGGGGTTGAAAAAGAATGACCCAAACAGAATATAAACATATCGGTGCAACAACAGGAAAAACTTTTCTGCACTCCTAGAGACACACACACATACACAAACACAAATGCATTTAACGGCTAAAAAAGTTGATTTTGCATATGCCCCTTTTAAAGGTTCAGACTGGATGAAGGGCTTCAAAACAAGGATGTCAAAAATAGTTCCATTGTAATTCACCTGCCATATATTAATTGAATCCCTTGATGAGTGACTGTGGTGGTCAGTCAAACCCATGTGAAGACCTGAAGGTTGTCGTTGAGTTGCAGAATTACATAGCTCTATATATAT